AAAAAAAAAAAAAAAAAAAAAAAAAAAAGATATAGGAGTGGAAGTAAGGAAGCAGGGAGGAAAGATGGGGCAGATGATGGGCCTGGATTATAACTCAAAGCATAACAGATATCCATAACCCTGGCCTACTCTTTATGTATGATTCCCAAAATGCACATAATAGAAAGGGGAAAACTGGACATGTGTGACCTTTGCCTGATGACCAAGGTCACTGACTACTGCAAGAAGCAGTGTGCAGCACAAGAGGCACACCCAGCTGTGCCCAAGTGAAGGAGCTGGGCTTCTGGTCACAACATTCTGGGAGAGCCCTGGCACCTCATAGAGTCCCATGTGTGCACTCCCACACATACTCACTGCAGACATGCCCAGTCCCCTGCTGGATGGGGATGGCTCCTGCAGGCCAGGGGCCTCCTCCCCACCAAGTGTGGAAACCACATGGGCTTTGGCTCCTGGCACATGTTCTGTGGTCCTCATGGTTCTATTTGCTCTCCAGTGACACAGCACATAAAAGAGCTCCTGGAAAGGAACACTAAGAAGAAATCCAAATTGAGAAAGAAACCCAAGCCTTATGTTGAAGAGCTGGATGGTAGGGCCTCTGCAGCCTGGCGCTGCCTCTGTACCATTCTGCTCTCCCGCCATGGCCACCTGGCCTCTTCTCTAACCACTTCTGGGCCGGGGAGGGGCACTAACCTCAGGCCTAGGACCTCCTAAACCTGGAGGCCCTGGTGGCTGACAGGACACTACCTTTCTTGGGGATACCCAGAGCAGTTCCCAACATGTTTCTTGAGTTCTCGGTGGGCAGGGGACATAAGGAACAGCTGCCCACGACCCAGAGGCACCCACAGGTCAGTGTCAGGGCTTAACCTGAAGCTCACAGATGTCAGGGCACCCTGTGGCAAGGGTCTCCATGGTCCTGTGCTGCAACCAGGGAGTTAAGTCTGTTATTCAAAAGTCAGCACGGAATCTCCCCTCTTCTACAGTGGGCCCCCAGGAGGGGGATCTTGTAGTCTGGGATCCTTCCACTTTCCACCAGCATCCTTCCTGCCCTTTGCCTGGGCCCTGGGTCAGGATCAGCCTGCCCAGTGGTTTCCACTGACTGCCAAGTCAGCTCTCTAATGCCCTCACCTCCACCCTTGTAGCAGCTCTGGTCCTCCTTCACCTCCTCTGTGCAGAGCTGCATCCACCATGGATGGCCTGTCTGGAACCCCTTCCTGCTCTTGTTTTGCTGTCCTCCTCTGGAAAGCCCTTTCTGACTGATTACTGCCCTTGGGGACGTACTGCAAGGACAAGGAGCTTTCTACAAATGAGGCCTGCTTAGAACAAACTCTTGGGCCAACAGGAGGCCAGGAGGGCATCTGCAGGGCTGGGCCCTTGGTCTCAGCCAGCAGCCTCTTAAGACTGCCCTCAGTAGTTTTTCCCAGGGCAGCTGCAGTCCAGGGTGAGGTTCCAGGCCAAGGGCATCCTCAAATCACATTGGAACAACAGTGGAAGGAGCTCTGAGCTCCTGCCTGAGCCAACCACTGGTGCCTGGGAACTGGACAAACACCAGCTGTCCAAAAATCTTGCAGTAGCAAGGACATGGGCCTGGGTAGAGCTAGCAAGGCCTTGTAGTCCATATTGTCAGGTGAGGAGCAAGGAGCAGGTTGCCTGGACGTCACAGTCAACCCCACAGAGCCTCATGGCCAGGACCTGGCACAGCAAGCAGGGACTGTGGAAAGCTGCTCTGTCAACCTGTGGGCAGCAGCCTCCACCATGAAACCAGACTTAACCTGCTGCCAGGTAGATGAAAGTGTAGGCGGAGCTGATGATCCCAGCAAGGCCAGATTGGGGGCCCACAGCAAAGCATCTCACACATTTTTTTCTGGGCTGACTTTTTCCTGGGCTGGCTCCACATACTGCCTTTTTCATCTTCAATGCTCAACAGATAGCAGGTCTGTTGAGCTTCCTAGGCCCCTAGGGCACATGTGGCCTTGGCTCAGTCCTTCCTTCTCCCAGCAGCTGTAATGCCAGCAACTTGTCTGCTAAACATTCACTGGTATCAGGCTCCCAGCTTACCCATAAGACAGGTGTCTCTGTCCCCATCCCACAGGGAAGAAACAGGCACAGAGTTTTCTTGTGCCACACCACCACCAACAACAACCAAAAAGCAGTAGCCCCAGGATTCTGTCTTACTCCTGCCAAGTGTAGGCTGAAGGCCTGAGCATTGGCCACCAGGGGTGGCCCTGTGTGCCTAGTGAGGTCCTGTCTTCAGGGACTGGGAGCAGCAGCTCAGCTCCTTCCTGTAGTGAGTGTGTTCCAGCCACTGAACTGAGCCAGAAAGAAATACTTCAAAGCTTGCCCTTCTGTGCCCTGAATGGCATGGCAAGCTGTGGCCCAGGTTCCCCTGTATGTGCCATACATTCTCTAAAACAAGAGCCTTACAAACAGGGCAGAGTGGCATATGATGGAAGGTTCTGGCACTGTCAAGCTGACTTGAGTTTGGGACCAAGACCTTCTGCCAGAGTCTGTGGTTCTCCAGGGACCTTCCAGGAACTTGGAACTGTGTCCAGGACTTAAAAGTTTGGTTTTTGTTTTTTCTTAAGAATCTCCTTAACGTACAATGACAACCATTTTATAACTAGAAAAATTTTTCATAGACACATTTGTTTTTTGAACTGGAGTCCAAGCTCCCTTGTGTCCTGAGACATTCACAAGAAACTGCTTCCTTTCAAAGAAGGCAAAAGGATTCCATCTAATAGCTGGGATCTAGAGGCCTCCCTAACCCTGGCAGTTGGCAGGCATTGGGGTTAGTAGTCAGTGCCTTCCAGAGGGGAAGGACATGCCCAGAAGCATTTAGTCAGGTCACCTGTCTGTCCCTGATGGCTTTTCTTGATGTGTGCTCTTGTCTTCCTCCCTCTTCTTTCCTGCCTGGGCCAGGAGGACACTGCAAAGGTCCAGATCCCCAGCACCATGCCCTTTCCACCCCGCCCTCCAGGACCACCTTTGGAACCTGAGCTTTGGGGGCTGAGTTTCACAGAGCCCCTTCCTTGAGAAAGGAGTCTCAAGGTGGTCCTGCTGCTGCCTCGCCCTCCTTCAGGGGAAGAGGGTACTGCTTCAGGATGCTGGCATCTGCGCTACACTATTCCTTCCCTTCCACTGTGGACTGTACCTTGGACCACTGTCTCCTCAACCCCCATGCCTATCCCCGGGTGGGGCTCCTTAGGGCCAGCTGGGGGAATATGGAGTAAGGTTTGGAGGCTTTGGGACCCAGGCAATCCCTGTCTTGGCAGTGATTCTTTAGAGGGGAGCATCCTTGTCCTCTCCTGTTGGAAGGGTAGGAGGGCTGGCAAGAGGGTTTTCTCTCCCAGCCTGGCCCGTGGAGGTGGGGAAATACCCTTTTTTTTATGTAGGTCTCTGCTCTAAAGGACATTGCCTGGGAGAGTGAAGACCATTGCCCTGGTCAAGGGGTAGATGTGAATCTGGCCAGTCATACTGTAAGGCCTCTCTTTGCAAGAGCTGCCCTTCCTTGCCCCTTCCTCCCAACTTTAGTCCCTGCACCCACTTGTCGGAATCAGGCTGACCAACACCCATTCTTTTTCAGGGGTGGCGATAAGCACCTATGCCAAGTACTGTTACCACAAGCTGCAGAAGGCGGCCCTGACAGGGGCCAAGAAGGTACAGGCACTTCTGGGAGCACCAGGGTAGGGTGGCAGCAAGGCTTGGGAGTGTTGGCTGGAAGAGCATGAGGGACCCAGAGCCCAACTAGGTGGCTGGCCAGGAAGGCCTTTGAGATCCTTTGTTCAGGGGTAACCCAGTTCAGGAGCAATGTAGGCAAAGGGGTTGTGGTGTAGGCCAAGGTGTCAGGCAGCCTACCTGAGGTAGGTGGCCAGCTTCTTGTCTATGCTCAGCTTTCCCTCATGCATGGTGTGCAGAGTTAAGGAGTAGGATCCTGGCAACACTGAGCTGAGAACTCAGCTGGTATGGCCAGATGCAGGAGTCAGACACAGCCACAACAGCCAAGAGACCTCCCACTGGAAGAGACCCTCTTCCTTGGCAGTCTCAGTTTACCAGCCACTGCAGTCCCTGGAAGCCCAAGCCTTCAGTATTGGCCCCTCATCCACCCTTGCCTTCTCCCATCAATGTCCAGCTCTGGCCTCTGCTCTAGATCTCATTCCCTGGTTTTGACCCCCTTTCCTTTTCCCTTACAGCCTACCTCCATCCAGGAATTCCTTTGGGCCCCTTGTACCTGTCCCAAGGCCTGGCCTATCTTCCTCACTTTCTCTCCCTTCTGCTATGTTGCCCCACCACAAGGTTCAGCCCTACAGTCAGACTTCCAGAAGCATCACAGATCATCTGCCCCAGGCCTCTGTGTCCCTGTCAGCCCAGACTGGCCCATTCAAGAGTGGCTCCCATCTCCTCACATAACCTGTGGGGTCACTTGAAGCTTTGTGGTATAGATAGCCTGGAAGGAGGCCACCTTGGTGACTCCAGCTGAGCATTAGTGGGGAGAGACTGCTGAGCTGAGCATCTCTGGAGGGTCAAGGACAAGGGGGATGGAAGCAGGGAAGCTGAGCCAGACCAGAACAGGAGAGTGGTTGTCTTCACAGGGGCTGAAGAAGCCCAACGTGGAGGAGATCCGGCATGCCAAGAACGCCGTGTTCAGCCCATCCATGTTTGGCAGCTCACTGCAAGAAATCATGAGCATGCAGAAGGAGCGCTACCCTGACAGGCAACTGCCTTGGGTACAAACGCGGCTCTCCGAGGAGGTGCTGGCACTCAATGGTGACCAGACGGAGGGCATCTTCAGGTGCCATGCCAATTCCGGGCCCTGGGTGTGGGGGCCACAGGCATGTCTCCACCATGCATATCTGGCAGCCAGGGACCATTGAGTCAGGCCCCTGTTGCTGCTTCAGAATAGATGGAAGGGTGGGCTATCTTATGGAGGCAGATCTTGAGAGGCAGGTCTGCTGGGTCCCCCATCTCTCCATAGCAGCAGCAGAGCCAGCCAGGCATATGGTATCTCTGTAGAAGTGGCCACCAGGGTCCTGAGAATGCTTGGGAGACAGAACCAGTGCCTAAGACATGAGCCTGAGGTAACATGCAGCTGGTCAGGTACAGCATTCAGCCAGATAGCTCAGCATCCCCAACTCATATTGTGAAGGGATATGTGACAGCCCCTTGCCTGCAGGTGGCAGTTTCCTGTGGTGTCAGTTACAGTTGTGACTCACCTGTCAGGACCAGGGACATCCAGGTCCCCCAAAAGTACAGCTGGGGAAGTTGAGGGTTGCAAGTTTGGGCCTTGGTGCCCCTACAGAAGGTCCAGGAAGGGATGTTAGCCTGGGAGGACCTCACATCCAGATCCGTGTGCATGGGGCAGGGACCCAGAGGAGGGCAGTGAGACCCAGAATCACATACCCCAGAGAAGGAGGTAATTGGGGCAGAGAGGCCTTGAGGGCCTGTACCACCCTACCCCTGGGCAGCTGGACAGGCCACGCTCTCCCAACTGAGACCTGCTCTGTACTGCCCAGGGTACCTGGGGACATTGATGAGGTGAATGCTCTGAAGCTGCAGGTGGATCAGTGGAAGGTGCCTACAGGCCTGGAAGACCCCCACGTCCCTGGTGAGCACTCAACCCACTCAGCAAGGGCAGGTCTGGCCCAGGCCATGGTGCCTCAAAGGGTCCTTAGGTGCTGGCCCAGAAGGGAGATGGCCACTCACCCCTCCCGGGGCCACTCAGTCTTGTCCCTCTGTCCTTTACCTCTGGGGCCCACCCTGGCCAACTTGCCCACTTCAGGTAACTTTCTGCTCTGGGGCACTCCAGCCAGAGCAGAGCAGCCCAACTTATGGCTTTGTGGGGCCTTCCTGGCCAGCTCCTCACAGCAGCTGCACAACACTGCAAGAAACTATATTATGCAGTCACTGGAGCATCATCCCCAGTGCCTCCAGGATTGAGGCATGGCCAGGGGACCCTTCTCAGGACCCCTCCCTACACTCCTGGGTGTGGCCCAGCGGACCTTTTGGCCCTGGTGTCGCCAGAGCAGGCCCCTCTGAGCCTCACTCGTCCGCAGCGTCGCTGCTAAAGCTGTGGTATCGGGAACTGGAAGAGCCCTTGATTCCGCACGAGTTCTACGAGCAGTGCATCGCGCACTACGAGAGCCCCGAAGCCGCAGTGGCAGTCGTGCACGCTCTGCCCCGCATCAACCGCATGGTGCTGTGCTACCTCATCAGATTCCTCCAGGTATGCCCCGTCCCCGCCTGCCCTCTACCCTGCCCCATCCACTGCTCCATCCACCCTTCTTATCACCCCTTGCATAGGTGTTTGTGCAGCCCGCCAATGTGGCCATCACCAAGATGGATGTCAGCAACCTCGCCATGGTGATGGCGCCCAACTGCCTACGCTGCCAGTCAGACGACCCGCGCGTTATCTTCGAGAACACTCGCAAGGAGATGTCCTTCCTGCGTGTGCTAATCCAGCACCTGGACACCAGCTTCATGGAGGGTGTGCTATAGCGAGGGCCAAGGCAGCATGGGGCCCCGCTGCGGACCAGGAGCAGCCAGGCCGAGGCTGCGCCACCTCACCCCAAGAAGTGCCTTCTGTTCCCGGTGCCGAGCACACTGCCCTCCCCTTCCCAGGCGCGGGGTGGGCGGACGGGGGCGAGAGTATTTTTTCTTGGGGTACCCATGAGTCTGGAACCTGTGCATAGAGATATAAATAGAGCAACAGAGGCCAGGACGTTTGCTAAAAGACACAGTCTAATCCGACGCCCTTCGCCTTGGGGGCTGACCTCACGTCGCCACCCTGCGGACTCGACCAGCCCTGTGTCGGCTCCGGTCCACCCGGAATCTGAGTTCCTCCAACTGTTGTTAAATTTCATTTACCCCAGTTTTTATATATATATTTTTAGAGTTTTTATTTATTAAAAAGAAGCCCAATCCGCCGTGTCCCCTAGAGCAGGGTCCTCCTTCCGGTGAGCCCCGACTTTTTGAGGCGGCTCGGCGCAGGCGCTCCATCTGGCGCATTGTGTGAATAAAGTTCTTGTGAATACTCAGCGCACTGCCTGCCACTCGCTTTGCTTCTGCTCGGGATTCGCGTAGGTCAGGGTGGGACAAGGCTGCCCCCTGGGGGCCGGAACCCAAAGCGTACAAAAGTGGCGCCGGGGGGGACACTTATTGGAGAAACACGGCACCCCGAGTGACCCGCCGAAGGCTTCCGGTACGGAAGAATGTGGCCGCTGCAGCGTGGGGGCCTTTCCTTGTCCTTTGCCTTGGCTCGGTCTCGGGGAACCCGGACCTATAGCAGGGAGAAAGATGTCTCCTACACGCAGGGGCAGAGCCCGGAACCCCGGACCCGCGAGTACTTTTACTATTTGGATCATCAGGGCCAGGTGGGGGTGGGGTGAGGTTTGAGTCCCGGGGTGGGTGGAGGGGTCTGCTAAGATTCTACCAAAAGTCAGGCGCAAGCTGGTTGCGCCAAGGCCGTCCTGCCACAACCCACTGGGTCTTAAGTCTTACGACTGCGGGTGCCTTAAGGCAGCCTTGCCTATCTTAGGAGCCCTGCCTGGAGCATCCAGCATACCCTAGGGGGAATTTACCAGGTAGAAGTGGTACATCTGCGTGTGTGTGTGTGTGTGTGTGTGTGGTACCGGGGATTGAACTTGGGTCCTTATGCTTGCGAGGCAAGCGACGGAACCACTGAGTTAAATCCCGGCCCGTAGTGGTACATCTTAATTACAAACCTTAAGCCCGGGATAGTGGAGCATGCCTGTAATCCCAGCACTTGAAGGCTGAGATAGCAGAATCGCCCAGAGTTCGTGGCGAGGCTAGGCTACATAGCGAGTCCCTGTCTCCAAAAAAACAAACAAAAACAAAAACAAAAACTGGTGAGAAACAAGGATGCCGGCCCGGGGAAACAGCAAGTAAGCCCTGCCTAATAGTTCAGGCTGGCCTGGAACTCTCTATGTAGCCCAGGCTGGTCTCGCACTCGCTGCAATTGTGCCTCAGCCTCTGGAGGGCTGGGATTACAGGCGTCCGCTACCACGCTCAAAGAATCCCCTAGATTTACAGTGTACACAAAGAAGCAAGGACAGCTGACACAGGCCTGGGCCTGCCGTTGGGACTCATTGTCCACTGCCTTCCGCTGTCTGCAGCTCTTCCTGGATGATTCAAAAATGAAGAACTTCATCACCTGCTTCAAAGGTACGGCTGCATTCCTTCCTTCGCCCCTCAGGACGTCCAGCGGTCTCACAGAGGCCAGAGCAGGCCCTTAACACCGTGCGGGGCGTGGTGCCTCCTGGGGAGTGGCCCCTAGGGGTCGCGTAGTGAGTGTATGCACCTTCTCTACCCCTAGACCTGCAATTCCTGGTCACCTTCTTCTCCCGCCTGAGACCCAACCACAGCGGGCGCTACGAGGCCTCCTTCCCCTTCCTCTCGCTCTGTGGCCGAGAGCGCAACTTCCTGCGCTGCGAGGACCGGCCTGTGGTCTTCACGCACCTGCTGACGGAGGACGACGGGTCACAGCGCCTCTCCTACTGCGGCGGGCACGAGGCCCTGGTCGTGCCCTTCGAGCCCGCGCGCCTACTGCCCCTGGCGGCCAA